TGCAGGCACAGAGTGATGCAGGCGCCCTCCTCCCCAAAGCACGGAGCCTCCCCTGCACCCACAAGCCAGCTGCCTGCCCTCCCCACCCCCTGCCACACAGAGGGTCCCCCCATCCCCAGCCGCTGTCCTCACTCTGCCCCTACCCTGGGACCTTCTGCATGGTGCTCATGGCAGCAGGGATGGCACTCAGCAGGCTGGCCGAGCCCCCGCTGGAGGCAGAGCCGATGCTGGCAAAGATCTCCCGCATCATCTGTGCGTCGGCACGGTTCAGGGGCAAGGGCTTCCCACCGGCACCTCCTGGCTCGCCTGACACAGCTCCCACCAGCACCTTCAGGGCCTGCAAGGTCAACCGCAGTCAGGAGGGCAGCGGGCATCCCCGCCACACCTGGGCGAGCCTGCACCCTGCCCGCCCACCGACAGCATCCCCTCTGCCACACTCCCCGCCAGGCCGGCCTGCTGCACCAGGGCGGAGGAGGCGTGCTGCTGCATGCAGGCCAGCACAGCCCGCACACCGCCCTCCGTGGCAAACGGCACGCGCCAGTCGTACTTCGCCATGAACACGGCCAGCAGCCGCAGCGTCACCACCACCAGGGCCTTCTCTGCCACCTCAGTGCTCAGCAGCTCCACTGCCACGTTCACCAGCTTCTCCCTGCACGGGAAAGGACGCCTCAGGAGGAGCCTCCTGCCACTGCTGCTGGCACACCGGCACCCCGGGTCCTGCCAGACACCTTTCCCCTGCCCACAGGGCTCTACCACAGCTGGGTCAGCCCCAGGAATGAGCCTGCCTGGGACAAAGGGACACAAGATCCACCTCTCTTCTTGCCAAGCCTGCAGGGACATTCTGACCTTCACACTTCCACTGACACCTCCCACACTCCCACACCCAGTGCTGTCCCCCGCCCTGCCAACACAGCCCTCCCCAGCCAGCAGGGGGGATGCACAGCACCCCATGGCTCACCCGACAGTCCTGGTCCTCAGCCCGCCCTGGGCTTTGCCGACTTGCTGCTCGACCTCAGGCTCCTCTTCCAGGATCTTCACGATGTGCTTGAGGCCGGCTAAGCGCAGTCCCACCTCAGAGCTTCTGCTCTGGATCACGTCCACCACGGCTGCAATCTTGGCCAGCGAGCCCCTCTCGCTCACAGCCTCGGAGCTGCCCAACACTGCCAGGAGGGAGGCAGGGATGCAGGCGTCAGGGCAGCAGTAACATCCTCAGCAACTCCCGGGGTGCCATGCACCCACAAAACCATCACCCACTGGCACCCCCCTCCCCAAGCAACCTCCGGGTGCACGGCCTCCCATGCCCAGAGCCTCCTCCAGCACCATGCATGTGCCTCAGCGTGCAGCAGGCATGTACCTTTGATCTCCTCCTCTGTCACCTCTGGGAAGCACAACCCTTCCCTCTCAAGGAGCTGGCTGAACAGCTGGGAATCCGGTTTTAACACTGCAGCAGGGGATTGGGGCGGCACTGTGGCTGCAGAAAGGTCTTCCTTCGCTGCCTTGGCCGTTGTGGCTTCAGCGCCAGTGCTCCTGCAGCCGGCACCCTCCGAGGACACTGCGGTGCTCCCTCTGCCATCCTGCTCAGCCCCTCTACCGAGGAAGTACTTGGCGTAGATGTGGGATCCACACAGGTCACGCTGAGCACTGCCCTGGCACCGCTTCTCCAAGACCTGCAGCACCTTCTGGGCCAGCTCCGCAGGTACTGACAGCTGGATCAGGGCTTCTTCATCCATCTCCGACAGCTGGATAGATGGGGTCAAGTTAACCCTCACGAACCCGCCACAGACCCCACGCCCCTTGTGACAGCCAGTGCCAGAACAGGGAGACAGGCTACACCACCACAGGCCCCCCCAGGGCCATTCCCCAGTGCCCCCCTCTCCTGGCTGTCCCTAACTCACTTACCACCAGCCCAGACCTCTCACTTGCACTCACCACCCAGCCACAACTGGCAGAATCATCCTCCCGAAAGGCCTTGCCTACCCAGACCTTGCTGGACACAGTCACTCTTCCAGGGTGATAAGGGACTGCGTATCCTCTCATCTCTCCTCAGCCCTTTGCTGTGCACAGCTCTCCATGCTGTCACCATCCCTCACTCGCCCTCCCATTTCAGTCCCACTTCTGCCCCGTTCTGGCTGCCCCTGCACAGCTCACACTTGCTGTCTCCTCCTCTGGGCCTGGTCCTTTCCCTAACGTTCTCCCTTGCTCCCTCCCGTTTCCCCACTGCAGGCTCTGGCCCACACCTGCTCTCCCAGGTCCTGCTGGATGAGGCAGGTGATCTCTTCCTGCTCCTGCGCTTCCAGCTTCTTCACGAAGAACAGCAGCTCCCACCACTCGGCACGGCTCAAGGTCTCTGCAGCCTTGGTTGGCTGCTCCCCCAGGTAAGGCAGGGAGTACAGCCCCCGAAAGGGCTTGCAGAAAAACGGCTGCGCAACTGCAGGACAACAGAGCAAGAAAGGGCACTGTCAGCTCTGCCAATTCCTCCCATCCTCTATTGCACACCCCACATTCCCCAGGGCAAGAGCTCATGTGGACCATCTGGGCAGCAGAGGTCCCTGCTGTCCCACAGCTTGCTGTGGGAAAGGGAGTTGACAGGAGGGCAGTCAGACAGGGGGAACATGCTGTAGAGATGGGGATTCCCATCTCCACTTGAACCTCTTGGGGTTGTAGAACAGAGAAAGCACATGCTCAAAACGGGCACCTCTGGCTCACTGCTCCCCCAGCCTGTTCCCACAGTGCCTGGACCAGCCAGGGCAATGCACTCAGACATCCAGCCTCAGAAGAATCCACAGTGCCAGCGTGCAGCTGCAGAAGGGGAAATAGCTGGCCCAAGATGCTAAAGAAGTCAAGAGATGGGAAGTTAATTCTGCCAGGAGCTTCTCTCTTTTCCAAATGCCTCCTGCTGCCTAACAGGGCAAATACTTATAGGCAAAAGCAACATGAGACTGATCAGTTATCACACTCCTTTTAGCTAAATGAATCCAAAACGAAGAGAGGGAGACAAAATGTGTTATGTAGGTTAGATATTCTCGAGGTAATTTAGAGATATCAACCAAATCAACCCTTGCTGATATCTGCTAAGCAACAACTTGCAGCTTTCTCTGCAAATGCAAGATGGGAGACATTCACCACCTCAAGAGTCAACAGAAAAGGGTCAAACTCAATCCAAGAGGCTCAAGGCTGCTAAGAACAACTACATGCACGGCTGATTACCAACAGTCAGTCAACATGAGTTAATTTATCCAACTGTCAAGATCCAACGCAGAAAGCATTTGCTTTTTCAATTCAATTTTTATGTGAGATATGATGACCGGAAAGTTTTATACAGAAGTGAAACAGAGCCCATGCTTCTACCAAAATTTAGAGACCGAGAAAAAAGGCAAAGTCTAACCAAGTTTGTTTTAATTTAGCCACTTCAAACAGAGATGCAGTGAAGTCTTTAGCTATAAGAGGCAGAAGCCATTAAAGAAGCCATCTTTTCAACTGGCAATAAGAACATTTTTAAAGTGGAAAATTCGCTGCTGATCTCAGGTATATTCTGTCTTTTGCAGCAGTTAAATCCAAACCATTCTAACTAAAAGATGTCCTACAAGATTACGTGCCTGAAAAAAGAGCTACTTTACCAGGTTTCCCTGGCCAGAGTCACATCAGACACTGAACAAGAAGAAAGGAGCATCTGAAGTCTGGATTTTCCCTTTTACATTCTTGCAGTACAAGGGTAATGTCAAAGGATTCTAGGAGATTCTGCAGATGTCTTACGAAAATGGTGCATTTAATGCTCACCTTGCCCAAAATTGAGCAGCATGAAGTTAAACAAATTGTTGGCATGTTAATGCTTTTAAAAATCTGCGTCACTTATTTAAGGGGATCTGAGGGTCCCTAAAGCAGCTTCATCTCAGAGAGATTCTATGTTCTTACTTCGCCAGTTTGTTCTGTTAATTCAAATACACATTTTTTGACAGTCACCGTTTAAATCAAATTTTATGCTTTTTATATCATTACTTTTATTACATCATGACAGAGGTCTAGGATTCAAAAACACTCCATGCAACCACAAGCCATGTAATCACTTAACCAGCTCTACATGGTCATACAAACTAAAGGCTTATAGTGCTTTCTAAATCCAACCTCATAGTTGCTATATGCCTGGCTATATAAAGTTCACCACTCAAAAATATGCCACAGCAGAATCAGAAAGAGACAATGTAGCCACACACATGCAGCACATAATCTCACCTGTGTCTCGATTAACGCGCTCTATCAGACTATATTCTTTTTCCTGAGCAGCAGGATCTTCCCACTGGTCTCCAAAGCCAATAATCTCCAACATGTGCCAACGCATCCAGTAGGTCCGACCTGTTGACTGCCATAAAACCTGTGGGTGAAACAGATCTAGATGATCATATTTGTTCACTCATTCAATCCTCATACTACATTTGCCCTGCCATTTCCCAAATGCATGAAGATAGCAAGCACTGTTCAAGTAGAAGACCAAGTGATATACACACATTGTCTAATTTTTAAGCATAACATCTTTATTAACTTGTTCCCCTGGTTACACCTGGATCTTTATTTAAAAAAATACCAACTTTGCCTGTAACCACTACAGATCTCATCTAGCACAGCAGCAGTGAAAGGAGTGCATTTAGATAAGCATTCATGCTCCAAAAGTGCCCAGCAGCAGATGCCTTGGGAAAAGCATACGACAGAAGAACTTAACCAACACTACCTCACGGCAGATGAGCTGTATATAAAGCGTCTTGAGGCACAAACCACTTGGTGAATGCTAATATAAAGAAAACTATTTTTCCTACTCCGACTTGAACTTCTGTTGGTTATACTTTTACACCTCGGTCATTCATCAACCCTCTCAGACAGGTTTTGGGCTCCTGACAAGCGTGTCTCAAAGGAGGCAATTGTCTCCTGTGCTTTGTCCAAGTTGCCGCTGAAAATCAAAGGAATTCCTTCTATGGTTTCCCATACTGTAGTTTTACATTTAACCTTCTGAGCAGAAGGAGGACCCAGCGACAGTAAGTACAACATGTCAATAACTTTAAAAAAAAAAAAAAAGCAACAAACATATGGGTTGCCTGATTTACTGAGCTCTTTGGGAGTTACACCAGTACTACTAGGACTCCATTGTGCTGGAGAGCTAAAGAGATAAGATGCTGACAGACTTTAAGAAAGCACTATATGGAAAGAAATTGAGTTAAACTCTACACAAAACAACAATTAGTCTTCAGAGAATCCCTGATGCAAACTAGTTATGTACAAAATATCATCTCAAAGGAATCATGGAAAGATACGACTGAAGGACCAGGCACAACAGTGAAGCTTTTTCTTTGGAGAGGCAAAGAAAGCACAGAAAACAGAGCGACAAAGGGAAGATGAGAGGAGGTAGGAGACACACTCATGATGGACTGGCCTAAACCAAAAATGCACACGAATTTGCATTTTTGCACACAGAAGACTGACAGCAACCCTCAGGCAGAATGAGCTGCAAAAGCAGAACTAATCAAAAAGGATCAAAATTTTAGCAAAGACCAGGGAGAAGCAGTTCTTGTAACCTGTACTCACTAGTCATCAGCAGATGAACTGTCAATATAAAGCAAGTGTGATACACAAGACAAGAAAGAGGAACAGAGATAAAAAATCAAGTTTCCCTTCAAAGAGAGACTGATGTCAAAGGCCCAGAAAAGCAATGATGATCAACAGATGTCATTACAAGGATGATTTTGAGATGTCAGATTCCTGTTATCTCCCTGTGGAAAAAAAAATTAATTGAATGGTTTGACTCACAAGTTTCTCACATAACTTTGGAGGACTGCTACATACACATACACGGACATGAACATAAAGAGAAGGGCAAAAATTAACACTCCCAAAGACTGCATATACATTCCCAACTTCCTAGACAGACTGGAGGGCAGGGAACTCTGATAGTGGCAGAAATTAAGTACTTCCAAGTATAATAGCAAACAAACTTCTTCACTGAAGATTTATTACCTTTTAGATCTGGTTTTGCCAGCAGTGTGAGCCTTACAGAAGACTGTTATTGAAAATAAGCCTGGATGGAGCAATTGCAAGTTCATTCAACCTAATTAAATAGAAAAATAGACAGGAGAAGGAACCCAAGGGACCAACTGGACAAAGGGAATGGAAGTTAACAATACACTTCAACTCAACAGTGAATAAGAAAATCCTCCAAAATCTATATCACAGTCAACAGGAGAAAAATGGGAAAGGATCTTGGTGCTCTTTCCAAATGCCCAGTTACATTAAGAGTAAAAGCAAGTACAAGATTATAAGAAACAGAAAACAGAATTTTAGAAAAACCACAGGTCTTAGAAATCAAGGAGCATAAGGACAAAGACAGAATCAGTAGGAAACATTTATTTATTTCTTTTTTTACAATTTATCTTTACAGACTGGATTATAAAAACAAAAGGTTTATCAACCACTTGAAAATAAGATGCAAAGCAGTTATTCAATTGAGGGGGCCTGCAATGAAAAATCACCTACGCATGGTCCAAAACTAGAAGAGTATTTTACTTGAAGACTGAGTAAACACAAAAGAAAGCAAAGCAAACTCATAATGGGTAGAGGGATACAAATCCAGAAGTTGCCACATCAGAGAGAAACAAAATTCAGTTTGGAGGACAGAGGTGAAAGACCCACCAAGTAATCTGCCAGAAGCACAGTGCAAGCCGAGTGCAAGGTTGGGGTCAGGGCAATCCCGAGCACAAATACAGGCTCGGCGGGGAATGGCTGGAGAGCAGCCCTGTGGAGAAGGACCTGGGTGTGCTGATTTACAAGAAGCTCAACATGAGCCGGCAATGTGTGATCGCAGCTCAGAAGGCCAACCATATCCTGGGCGGCATCAAAAGAAGTGTGGCCAGCAAGTCAAGGGAGGTGATTCTGCCCCTCTACTCCACTCTCATGACTCCACCCGGAGTACTGCATCCAGTTCAGGAGACCCCAACATAAGAAGGACATGGACCTGTTGGAGCAGGTCCAGAAAAGGGCCACAAAGATGATCAGAGGGCTGGAGCACCTCTCCTATGAGGAAAGGCTGAGAGAGTTAGGGCTGTTCAGCCTGGAGAAGAGAAGGCTCCAGGGAGATCTTATTGCCGCCTTCCAGTACCTAAAGGGGGCCTACAGGAGAGCTGGGGAAGGACTTTTTACTAGGGCATGTAGTGATAGGATGAGGGGGAATGGCTTCAGACTGGAAGAGAATAGATTTAGGTTAGATACCAGCAAGAAATTTTTCGCTGTGAGGGTGGTGAGACACTGGAACAGGTTGCCCAGAGAAGTTGTTGGACACCTGGAGGTGTTCAAGGCCAGGCTGGATGGGGCTTTGAGCAACCTGGTCTAGTGGGAGGTGTCCCTGCCCATGGCAGGGGGGTTGGAACTCGATGATCTCCAAGGTCCCTTCCAACCTAAACCATTCTATGATTCTATAAGCGCAGGTGGAAAGTGGGAAGGTTATTCAGTGGTGTTTCCATGTAACTGACAAACACTAAAGCCAGTGCTTCTAATTTGAGGAAAAAAAAAACCTGATTAAATCAATCTTCACTACAGCTTCACTACTTTGACTTCAGTAGTATGCAAACCTTTAAAGCATATTTTAGCGGAAAGAACAACTGAAGATGTTCAAGATAAAGAATAAATCTGAATTAACAGCCTGGACCAGAGTTAAGTTAAAGTTACTGAGAGTTGACTGGAAAAATTCATCCTAAAACCAGTTCCCACTGAGTAAACAGAAGACCATCAGAAGGCAGAAGCAGTCTGCAACTGGCAGAGGAAAAAAACCAAAAGAACATTCACACAATTTCCCTGTGCACAAGAGCAAAGAGAGACAATAGGAGAATAGAAAGAAGACAGTGTTCAGTGTTCTTAAATGGCTAAATTGGCTATAAATGAAAACAATGGCATTACACAAAACAAAATGGGCTGTAGTGCAAGAGGGATAGAGTCTCATGCTTAACAAAAGTGGAAAGTAGATTCAAAGGAGACAGTCTTCAAACATGCAGAAGGTAATGTCAAATTCTTATACCTCCTCTCTAGAAAGGCTGGTAATGAACTGTAAGTTACAGCAAAAGAGATTTGGAAAGAGTATTAGGAAGTCATGCATTTCTACAGATAGCACAGTGAGGCTTTTCAGCTACTGATTTTTGAATATCAGCAACACAGAGCTTTGCACTAGCACGGCACTTAAGTCTATTCACAGTCCATCTATATCCGCAGAAATCAGCTTGAAGTAAGGAAGCCTTTGAGCATAGGCCGAAGTGGCACTTGAAGTACAGCTATGACCAACTGAAATGGCCTCAGATTTTATCATCTGCAAAACCAAAGCATGCGCTTTCATTAATTACTTGGGGGAGAGAAAAAAAAAAAAAAAAGAACCAACAAACCCACAACTGCACGCACTAAGAGGTGTGCAGCGGTTACAGTTTCTCATTTCACTGGTTACTATCTCAATTCAATAAAGATTTAATGAACTGAATTATAGCCTTGTTTGCAGCCAACACCATCCTGGACTGAGCAAATGACATGAGCAGAGACAGCCCTCTATCTTATGGATGACAGCCAGCTAAAGCTTGATTTTTAAGAGAACAGAAATTGTGCCTCTAGCTGCAGTGTTTGGGAAGCTCAAAAGCAGAGCCAAAGTGCAAGATCAGCAGATAGCCTGCAGAAAGAACCATACATAGATTAGAGTGACGCACAAAGCCCGCCAGCTCCCCGCTGCACAGTCAAAACAAAATCTCAGCTCTCACTGACCATGCCCAGCCTTCAGGACTGAGAAGAAAGTCTCCAGAAAAAGGTCTAAGCAGGAGCAAACACTTCCTTGCACCCACAAAAAGGCTCAAACAGCACTCAAATGCTCTCCCGCCCCCAGGGCCTGAACCCAAGGCCTGCTGCTTCAGCACTGACCCATACACTAGCAGGATATTTTGGGAGTGGCAAGAGCTGAATGCTTTAGGCCAAGAATTAGAGATGGTGCCAGCAAAGGGAATCTTGCAGTCAGTGTTTACTACAGGCTGCCCCAGCAAAGGGAGCCTACTGACAAAGTATTCTTACTCTAGCTACAGGACGGATTGCACTCGCAGGCTCTCGTCCTGCTGGGGGACTTCAACAACCCTGACATCTGCTGGAAAAGTAGCACGGCTGTAGGCAATCCAGGAGACTCCTGGAGCGCATTGAGGATAACTTCTTAAGCCAGGTAACAGACAGCTCTACCAGAAGAGATGCGATACTGGACCTGCCGGTCACCAATACACGTGAGCTAATCGCAGACATTAAGATCGGAGGCAGCCTGGTCTGCAGTGATCCTGCGCTGGTGGATTCACAGTCCTGAGGGCGATGGGACAGGCAAAGAGTAAAGTCTGGACCCTGAATTTTAGAAAAGCAAACTTCCAGCTGTTCAAGGAGTTAGTCAATGGGACTCCTTCAGAAACTGCGCTCAGGAACAAGGGAGCAGAACAGAGCTGGCAGACCTTTAAGGACACTTTCCACAGAGCGCAAGAGCTCTTGATCCCCACGTGTAAGAAATCAGGAAAGGAAGACAAGAGACCAGTATGGACGAGTCATGACCTGCTAGTCAAATGCACAGGCAGTGGAAGCAGGGACAGGTATCCTGGGAAGAGTATAGGGACATTGTCCGGTTGTGTAGGGATGGGTCAGGAGGGCCAAGGCACAGCTGGAGCTGAACTTGGCAAGGGACACAAAGATTAAGAAGAAGGTATGTCAGCCAGAAAAGAAAGGTGAAGAAAGTGTACCCCCCTGATGGGCACAACTGGCAAACTGGTAACAACAAATGAGATGGCTGAGATACTCAGCAACTTTTTTGCTTCAGTCTTCAATGGCAACCTCTCTTCCCACACCTCTTGAGCAGATGGACTGCAAGGCAGGGACTGGGGGAGCAAAGTGCCTCCGACTGTAAGAGAAAAACAGGTTTGAGATCACCTGAGGAACCTGAGCATACAGAAGTCTATGGGACCTGATGAGCCGCATCCCAGGGTCCTGAGGGAATTTGCTGAGGTAGTTGCCAAGCTACTCTACATAATATTTGAAAAATCATGACAGCCAGGTGAAGTCCCCAGCGACTGGAAAAAGGGGAACATTGCAGCCATTTTTAAAACGGGGAGAAAGGAGGATCCTGGGAACTACTAATCTGACAGCCGCACCTCTGTACCTGTGAAGATCATGGAACACATACTCCTAGAAGCTATGCTAAGGCACACGGAGAACAGGAAGGTGATTTGAGACAGCCAGCCTGACTTCAGCAAGGGCAAATCTTGCCTGACCAACCTAGTGGCCTTCCATGATGAAGTGACTACATCAGTGGACAAGGGAAGAGCTACTGATGTCATCTATCTGGACTTCTGTAAGGCCTTTGACATGGTCCCTCACATTGTTCTCTCTAAATTGGAGATATGGATTTGACGGATGAGAAATTGGCTGGCTGGTCACATCCAGAGAGTAGTGGTCAGTGGCTCAATGTCCAGATGGAGATCAGTGACAAGTGAGGTCCCTCAGGAGTCCCTATTGGGACTAGTAGTGTTTAATACCTTCATCAATGACATAGTGGGATCAAGTGCACCCTCAGCAAGTTTGCAGACAACACCAAGCTGAGTAGTGCAGTTGACATGCCTGAGGGATGGCACAGTATCCAGAGGGACCTGGGCAAGCTGGAGAAGTTGGCCCATGTGAAACTTATGAGGTTCAACAAGGCCAAGTGCAAGGTCCCGCACCCAGGTCAGGGCAGCACTTGGTATCAACACAGGCTGGGGCACGAAGGGATTGAGCGCAGCCCTGCAGAGAAGGACTTGGGGTACTGGTGGATGAAAAAGTGGACATGAGCCGACAACCTGCACTCGCAGTCCAGAAAGCCAACTGTATCCTGGGCTGCATCAAAAGAAGCACGGCCAGCAGGTCGAGGGAGGCAACTCTACCTCTACACTCTGCTCTGGTGAGACCCCACCCAGAGTACTGTGCCCGGCTCTGGAGTCCTCAGCACAGGAAAGACATGGACGTGTTGGAGCAGGTCCAGAGGAGGGCCACAAAAAAAGATCAAAGGGCTGGAACACCTCTCCTAGGAGGACAGGCTGAGAGAGTTGGGGTTGTTTAGGCTGGAGAAGAGAAGGCTCCAGGGAGACCTTATAGTAGCCTTTCAATACTTAAAGGGGACTTACAAGAAAGATGGGGACAGACTTTTTAGTAGGGTCTGTTGCAATAGGACAATGGGTAATGGTTTTAAACTGAAAGAGGGAAGATTTAGGCTAGATATAAGGAAGAAATTCTTTACAATGGGAGTGGTGAAACATTGGAACAGGTTGCCCAGAGAGACGGTAGATGCCCCATCCCTGGAAACATTCAAGGTCAGGTTGGACAGGGCTTTCAGCTCATTGCAGGAAGGTTGGACTAGATGACTCTGAAAGGTCCCTTCCAACCCAAGCTACTCTATGATTCCTCTCCCTCCTCAAATATTGAGGCCTTTTCCCTAATCTCTGGAACAAACTTAGCAAATCAACTGTAAATAAGCAGCTCTAACAGCTCTTTTTAACCCAAACTCTAATTTAAGGCCTACTCAGGTAAAGGGCATTTTTAAAGGGAAACAGACCCTGGCATACACTCACAGATCAAAAGAAACAGTTATGTAGGCTGTGTGCAACCCAGTGAGAACAACAGTCTGCCATAAGTACTGTCACTCACATACCAAGACTTAAGACCTTCAAGGACGTTTTGCTGTGTTACTCATTTGTGCCAGTTAATCTGTTCCCAAACCATCCCCAAGGTCAAACCAGGGCTAGGGACTGTTCCTCGAAGGCAGGATACAACCACCTGCCTTAGCAGGACAGCCCATACTAAACAAAACTGACTTTCCTCAGGACCCATAATTACAGCTCCAAGAGGTGACTTCTTTGCTAGGACAGATGTAGACAGTGTCCCAATTATGATACCCTATTGTCCAGCTTCCCACACATGAAGACATCATTAGGAAATCATCAGTCATGCCCTCTGCCATCCCAGCCAGACTACTTCCACTAGTGACATACCTGCGCTGTGTGCATGCTATTAGTGCTCTGAAGAAACTCGCCTTCCTCCCCAGCTCTAACGTCACCACAGTCCTCCAGCAAGCGCACTCTCATGCCACGCACCAGGTTTGCCTGTAAGTACTCCACATAGCCACTGCGGTCTGCAAAGTCTGATGGGGTCAGGAAGGTACGACTCTGCTTTTTGCGGGGTCTGTGATTTGAAGGGAGCACAGGCATTTGGGCAGCAGTGCAGGCTGGGGTCTTGGGCTGGAAGATGGAGTGGGTGGTGCGAGGCCGCAGCTCCTGTTGCGGCAGCAGCTCTGGCTTGTGGCTGTGGTCCCAGCCCATCACGTGCACCAGCTCCAAGATGAGGTTTGCCATAGCCATGCTGAACTCAAACTCCTGCTTCACACGGCTCCTCTCCTCAGTGAATGGGCCGGGCACAGGGCAGTCCTGCTGCTCCCCTCCCTGCTCCACGCCGCTGCTGAGCTTGTCCATGAGAGAAGTGACACACAGGTAGCGCTTCACCAGGACGAACAGTAGCTTCCCGGGGATCTGCAACAAGCACAGCTGTCAGACTCTACCCTGCAGAGCACCTCCAGCCCCTGACTCTCTCCGAGCCACCAGCTCATCCACAGTCAGGCTCCCGAGATAGCTCCGGACCAGCAGGCAGCAGCAGAGACCTCTCAGCCCACCCTCCTCTCCCTGCTCAGAGACAAGGCTCTCCGTGTGCCTCTCCACCACCACCCAGCCTCACACCAGGCCCAGATCCTGTGCCAGCTCTCCCAATACCCAGTCCTGCTCAGCTGACCACCCTCCTGTCCCAAACAAGGACACCAGCTCTGGCACCCCACTCTCACCCCTCCTGACCCCTAAAGCCCACGGGCTGGCAGGGCCTGCCGCTACCTGGGGAAGGTGAATCCCCTCAAAGGACATGCACTGCTCTTCAGAAGACATCATCTCAGCAAACAGCTCCAGCAAGGTGTAGCGACCGTCAAAGTCTACGTGCTGCTCAATGCCATCCTGCTGGCTGAGGGACAGCAGGACATAGGCCCGGCTCCCTGTAACAACAACAGAAACCCTTCAGGCCCCCTAAAGACAACCCTCACCCCACCCTCCCTGCACGAGAGGACTTGCAGGCAAGGAACAGCTTTGCTGCTCAGTGTAACCTCAAACCATGTTCAGTCCTTTACCCTGGATTGGCAACATTTTGCTCCGCTGAATAACACTGCATTTTTTCCACCCCAAAAGCTGCACGATTCCCCCAAAGCAGCAACCCCAAATAATTGACTCCAGAACAGGGTTCCAGGCAAGAAAAAAGTTAAGTTTTAACCTGAATCAGCCCCCCGTCTGCCCCACAGGAACTCAGGCATTAGGACAGGGAAAGCCAGACCTCTTGTAGGACACACCACCACTAGCAACCTTCCCGGTGCACACAAGCCTCATCAGGCACTTCCACGCTGTGGCAGCTCCTCTCAAATCAGAGGACTGGGTGAGGACCAGGCCTCTACCCACCAGGGCCTGAGCAAAGGCTCCCTGCCAAAAACAGGCCACAGCCTTTCCCATTGACAGCACACAGCAGACACCCCAACACTCCGCCAAGCCCCTTGGCATAAGTCCTCCTAACAGTTAATCAGCATCCCAGCTCGGGAACCCGGCAGGGGAAAGCGCTCCCAACTCTTAGAGCACCCCAGACAATTATGACTGAGGAGTCGCTTGGAAGCTCCAGTCTGATTCTTCCCCTTTGCCGACAAGCCCCAGGACACGCTGCTTCCCAGGCATCCCATGCTGATAAAAGGACTGGCATCCCTCAGCTGCCCAGCAGCACCTCCTCAGTGGCACTGAGCAGTAGCAGCCCCCACCTGCATCGTGCGAAGCCAGGGCCCTCAGCATCTTGCCGGCACTGCGGCGGATTTGCTTCTCCTTGTGGCACAGCATCTTCATCAGCAAGTCGAGGGCTCCCGTCTCCTTGAAGGCACCCACCAGCGAGCCAATGCTGGCGTAGGCGCTCAGCACGTGGATGGTGTTGAGGATGGAGGACTCAGGGGCCCCCGTCTCGGCCATCTGCCGGCCAGCTCGCTGCACCAGGCTCCTGACATCGGCCTTCATCTCCAGCAGCGAGGCTTCATCCAGCGGCACATCTGCAGCGAACGGGCTGGCTGCCTTCTCCTCTTTCACCCACTGCCCTTCCAGCTTCCTCTTGCCCAGCAGCGCCGGACAGCTGGCACAGACCTCCTCTGCAGACATCCACATCGAGATGTTCTCCGGCTTGGTCTCTGCAGAGGAGGCACTGTTGCCTCCCGCTGCTTTCTCTTCCAAGCTGACGATACTCCACTGGATCAGGTACTCAGGCTGGCCGTCGTGGCCTCGCCGCTGCCGCAGCAGCTCCCCTGGGTAGGCCTGCAGTTTGGGTCCCAGGTGCACAAGCAGGTTGCCATTATGCCTCTCGTTCACCATGACAGGAAATGGGCCTGCAGAGACAGAGGGGAAGCAGAGACAAGCTTTTATTTCTGAGCTGCGTGCCAGGGAAAGTGTGAGCTCAGCAGAACTGTCTGAAGAAAACCCCATTTTGCAGAAGCTCACATCCCCTTTCCAAGAAAATGAGCCAGCATTTCATACACATCCCTGTTCCCCACATTACTGGCACACACAAAGAGGCTCTCCTCAAAAAGCCAAGGCAAAATGGGCCCATTCAGGTCTTCTTATAAGACAGCAAATATTCACAGAACACCTGGGTCCTGCTCTCATCTCTGCCCCTGTCCACAATACGACCCTATGCAAAATGCTGATTTTGCACTTCTGTTTTCCCTCCTGTTATTTACCACTTTTATCTGTTTAGACTGTGAGTTTACCTAGAGCTTAAGCCTTCAGGCAGACACTGCCTCTCACTGTGGATCTGGACCTAACTTGCATCACCAGGCCCTGAAGAAAATAACCAGCAATTTCTAATATCAAGTTCATATACAGTAAATCAGGTCACTATCTAAAAGCCACTCAGTATTTCCTTCTTGGCCTCCTGTCAGATATTCTTTGCCTTTACAATGTTTAGACAATGGGCAAACTGAACAAAATTAAAAGATTGTTACTCTCTGCTGTCTGATTGTTCTGCATATCTTAGGGCTATAAAGAAGAAGCCATGACACTTCTTTACTTTCATCTATGCAAAGAGGAGCATGAAATAATTTGCTGTCTAAGACTGAGTGCTAGCAATCAGCTGGGCAACTGCAGACAATACCACACACAATGGACTGACTTCATTACCACAAAGGATGCCAGATCAGAATCTGATAAGGCTCTCGGAGGAGCTCAGGCAGGTGGTAGAGGAAACACATGAATAGGTCCTCTTCTTGTCACTTACACATACTAGCAAGAGAACCAGTGAAGCAACATGCTGTTCAGCTGACAGTAACACAAGTCATTCTTAAAAAACGAGTTACCATACATAGGAAACAGTCAATCTATGTACAACTGAAGAAGATACTAACCATCAAAGACAATGATAGGCACATTAAAGATGTCTCCCAGGTGCAGAGAGAAGATGCCTGAACTCCCAAGAAATTCATACCTACCTTCAATTGCGCCTGCCTTGAAATTTGCAGCAAGCCAGCTGGGAATCTTCTCACAGTCCGTCTGTAATAAAAGGACCAAATTACTCTCCTGCGCTTTGTAAGAGTATTTAAATGCCGCATCATAAGCCAAAAAATTGTTTTCCCTAACTGCTTGTACAGTGCACAAAAACCCCTACCCCGAGAGTTTCACGCAAAATAAAAATCATAGTAAAACAAGTCTCTGTGAAGCGTTATTTTGTTTGATAACTTTCACCCCGCCCCCACATCAGGGCATTTAGCATTAAAAAACCTCTTTAGAGCAGAGCTATCAGAAGGGGCCCAAAAGGATGTGTAGCTAAATAAGGGAGAAATTGGATTTAGGGCACCTGAAGACGTAGCTGCAATGCATGTGATGAGCGAGACGCACTAGAGCCTACGACAACCCACAGCTCAATTGTCAGACTGCTTAAACACATGCACTGCGGTAAGTTTCAGAGCTGTGGCAAATGAAAAAAGACATAAAGCACCACGGCACCCGGTTCAGAAGCGCAGCCCAGCCTGCGCCCAGGCAGGCAGCACAGCCCAGCCCAGCCCCGGGCCGGCGGGGCCGCAGACCTGCCTGCACAGGG